AGGCAATCGTCCAAATGAGTTTTGCCAACTCGTCGAAATTCCTCGGCTATTACTCATCCCTCTCTGCAAACACGTCCCTACCCAGATCAAAGCCCAAGAGCCTTTAGGGGCATGGGACAAGTACCGTGGGCAGTCCCCTCACGTAGAGCATAACAGTAACTCAGAGGAGAGAGCAACCCCACCTGCCGACGCTGCTCTCACAGCCAAAGCTCTCACCTACCCTGTCACTGGGACAGAGGTTTCTTTCCCAGAGGGATTCACAAGCAGTTGGGTGCCCTCCGTGCCATGACTAGTTGGCAAACACCTTCCTAGCCGACCTCTCCTCTCTGTGCATCTGCACTCATGCCATGCTGCACTGCCAGTGGAGCAGCCCGAGATCAGCAGCAGCCCCGTGTCCCACCAGCAGCATCTCCACGCAGCAGGACCCCGGCGAGAGCGCAGCGCCTGAAGCAGCGCAGCGGGAAGCGGCCGAGCCCGTCCGGCAGCGTCTGTGCCGCCGCCCGGCCCGTCCCGGGGCTTCCGTTCCTGGGATGGCCACGGCTGCTTTGAACTGCTGTGCCAATAACCCTGCCACAGCAAACCACGGCGTGTGAACACTGAGCCAGCCAGGTCTCGCCGGCAGTAGAGACCCTCCTGTCAGCACCACCTTATCGGAAGGGCTGGTGGCAGTGGGTGACATGGGGCACCTGTGAGTACCGACTGCTCCTCTGCCGCTGGCCCCTGCTAGACGAGCGGTCCCGGGGGCTGACACGGCTGGGGTCAGCACCCTCAATCTGCCGGTGATCCACCAGCTCAGGTGCCAGGGCACCTGTGACCTGCAGGGTCACACCTGGCAGCATGGGCTGGACAAGTCCTGGCCACTGCAAGGAGAGGGAGAAGAGCAGTCTCCTCTGCCACCCCATAGTGTCTGCAGCAGGGGCTCTACCAGTCCCCGGAACCCCCAGCGCATCCCCGCCAAGCCTCAAGTGGAACCCCCAGCATCGAGACGCCTCTTGCCCGGGGCAGCTGGACCACCGGACCCGCCTCCCGTCGCTCCAGCCCCGCGGTTGGCACAAGCCCAAGGGGCACCGGACGGAGGAAGAGGCGGATCCCGGGGAAAGCAACACCCGCGCTGCCCCGGACAGGGCAGGGGGAGCCGGGCGCCGCCCCACCGACCTGCCGGCCGCCCCCGCTGTGTCCTCCGGCCGCCGGGACATCGCCGGCACCTCCCGAGCCCCGCGCCCTCCCGGCACGGCCCAGGTTTCCTCTTAGGTCATTTCCTCGGCCGAGCCGGGGGAGGGCCGGGCCGGGCCGGGCGGGAGAGCGGCGGCAGCTGCGGCAGCGCCACCGCCTGCGAGCGCCGGGCACGGCCGGCTGCTCCTCGGGAAACTGCTGCGCTTCCCGGGCACGGCCGGCTGCTCCTCGGGAAACT